CCTGTGGAGAAGAAGAAGAGTTTGACCCTGAGGGTCAGGTGAAGGGCGGTAAGATGTTGGGGTTAGCTCTGAGCCGGGCATCGAGGGATCTTGGAGGCTTTTTATGAAGGGGAATGATGAAGCCCAGACCAGATTGTATCTCTCTGGGGAATGGAGCAGAAGTGGACAGACAAGTTAGCTGATTTCCAACATCAAAGTAAAATAAAGGTCGTGAAGTGGGCTAGGGCATTGGCCACAAGGTAGGGAGGAGGGGCATATGTATTCCAGAGGTATTTAGGTTGGTGAGGTTTAATAAACGGTAGTGAGAGAGTCAGAGGGGTATTAGAGAACATGGAAGAGCCCACATGAAAAGTATTAGTGCTAAAGGACTGAAGAATATGGTGGGGGAGGGGATAAAGAGGAGCTGATATCAAGGAGTTCAAGAAGAAAGAAAATGTTCTGAAACTGATTGGGGTAGCGATTGTACAATACCGCTGGATGGGACTGAACTGTGGACCTTAGGTTATCTGAAAGAGCTCCCAATAAAATGGAAACAAAAATGTCGGAGCATCCCCTAACCCAGGTGCTTCTCTCCTAGCCTGGATGTGCCCTGGGGTGGGGGGCAGATCGCCTCCTGCACTGATTGCTCCTCCCTCCTCCCCCAGGCACCTCCCTAACCCGGCTGCTCTAGGCACTTCCTGGTACTTCTGGGATCTCCCATCTCCTCTCCGGTGTTCCTCCTCAGACACTCCTTTGGTTCCGGAGCTACTCCTGGCACCTTTAAGACCCTCCTGAATTCCAGTATTCTTGCTCAAGGACTGCCGGCCCCAAGCTGGGGTGACTCCCATCCAGAGACATGTCCGATTCACTTGATTCTCAGCTAAATAGTTCCTGGCTACGGCCTCCCTTGGGGTCAGAGTGTGGCCCCTTTGGGCAGGGATGAGTGGGCAATGGCTGTGACAGAGAGTGAAGGTCGAGGTGGGGTGGCTGTATCTGTATTGTCCTCTATGTGTAGTTTCCACACTGCCTACTCAGCTCCAGGCAACTGGGGTCTCCCACCGCTGGGGGCCAGGACCTGCCTCTGCCCTATCTTCCATCTTCAGCCTACTAGATAGTGTTGAAGACTGGCCTCTGGCATCAGAGACCTGGGTTCAAATCCTGGCACTCCTGTTGAGCGAGCTCATCTTTCCAAGTCTTACCTATAAAGTGGAGATAATGTTTACACCCAACACAACAGAGTTTTATGAGCATTTTTGACCTGTGTGTGTGTGTATTGGGGGGTGGGGGTGGGACGGGGTGGGGTTGAGCTTCATGCAATCCCTGGAACTGGCTCCTGCGTCATTCCCTTGTAAACAATTGACTTTTGTGAGCAGCGGGTTAGGGCCCAGCTGCCTGGTGTCCAGAGTTTGTCCAAAGGGGCTTTGAGTGTGACCTGGACTGTGTGTCCTAGGTTCCCTGATGGCACTTAGGTATCTGTGCTTTTTCCAGGACTCCGTGCCCTGGAGCTGCCTGTCATCTGAGGTCCCCTTGGAGCCAGGACTGTGTCTGGCAGAGGCCAGGGCTCATCGTGAGTTTCCAAGCCTCTCCATGAATGAGACAAACCAAAGCAAGTGCCAGTGGGAGGGGGGGCACGGGGGGAGGGCCTGGCCTCCCACCTCTTGGTGTCCCCAGGGAGGACTCCACCAATGATCGAGTCTTTTCCCCGGCAGCCACGCTGGGGCCCCTGGAGCTCCTTACAGCGTCCGCTGCGTCGTCGCCTGAACCAGGCCCCGGGGCCCAGGGCTGGCCAGTGCTGCTCGGGGTTGTGCTGGGCGCCGTGGCCCTCTCCCTCCTCATCGCACTTGCTGCCAAATGCCACCTCTGCCGCCAATACCGGGCCAGCTACCGGCACCGCCCGCTGCCAGAGACAGGAAAGAGGAACTGCCCAGAGGTGGGTGAAGATGAGGAGGATGACGGCTTCATCGAGGATAATTACATTCAGCCTGGGGCTAGTGGGCTGGGACCGGAAGGTAGCAGGGGGCCCTTCTCCCTCTGAGCCTTGACCTCTGTACCCCTCACCCCTTGTCTGACAGCTGTAGGATGGTAGGTACTACATTGGAGCTGGAACCTCGGGTCCGAGGTGGCCAGGGTTTAGGGAAAAGGACAATCTGCCCTTTCCCCACCACTGTCCAACCCATCCATCCTTCACAGTGGCCACAAAGTGCCAGTGACCCTTCCTGCTCAATTAGGCTCTCTGATGTTCGCAGGATGAAGCCCAACACGGGCTGGGATATGGAAATGAAATGAGGCCTCTTGTGGTCAGGCCTCTGCCAGCCTCTCCCACCTTCTTTCTTGTTTTTCTTACTTCGGGTGGCCTAACTCGGTCTCTGCCACTCCCGCACCCACGGGCTGCTTTGCCACGCGCTGCTCCTCTGCCTAGACAGCCCTTCCCCCCTCGGACAGGTCCTGTGTCAGTGAGTGAAAATCCCTGGCTGGTCCATCCCATTCCAGCTGGCTGCCTCCTTGCCAGCAAGTCGAATGCACCCAGATGGTAACAGTCAGCAGTTAAAAACGAGTGCCAGGTTCTGTACGGAAAAGTTTTTCTCGCCAATAAAGTAGGCAATCGAAATAGTAATCAGGCATTACACACACAAGAACGAATAAATTTATTTTCATTTCGATCAAAAAAAAAAAGTCATTTTTTCTGAACCAAACTGCTCTGCAGGCCTCAGAGCTGGGGGGCTGGACGCCACGCATAGCCCTGCCTCCAGGACGCCTCCAGGAGCCCCGCCCACTCAGGACCCCAGGCTGCGTGTTATATCCATCTTGATCACAAGTTACGCTTCTCTGTGCCTGGCCTCCCTGCTACACTGAGCTCTCGGAGGCCAGGGCTGCGTCTGACTCGGTGTCTGCAGGTTCTCACACGAAGTTGATGCTGGGTAAATATTTGTTGAACTCCCGTGGCTTGAGGAGTGGATCCCTGAAAGGGGAGCAAATGGAGTGGTGTGTGGAAGGCTTTACCACAAATCCCTGATGAGGAGAAGGAGACAGAGAAGAGGGTCCTTGCAATTCTGGGGGCAGGGGCAAGGGAAGCAGTGTTCGGATGAGAAAAACATGAGTCAAGATTCTTTTGATGGCAGGCGCTAGAAAGGAATTTTGGGGGAGAATTCTGGCTCTTGACTAGAATCAACAGGAAAAGCTGACTTGGAAGAGCAGGAAACAGGTGGTCCCAGGAGCCTGAGGTCAGGTCTTGCGCCTCCAGCACTCTGCTGTTTATGGGATTTAATGAGACTTGCTCTTACCAGCACTCTCCACTTTGTTCTTAGTTGCAAATACTCAAGAGTAAAGGATCTGATTAGCACAATTTGGCTCAAATATCTGCTACTGGTGCAATCAGTCGTGACTGGGGACAGGGTCCCGTAGCACAGATATGGTTTTTGTGCAAACACGTTATTTCTTCCAACTGATTCCTGGAGAGGAGGAAGTTTGGTGAGCCAGGTGGCGCCCCCTCCACGTGTCTACCTGGTTGAAGTGTTAGCCTTTGAGGACAGAGCTTGGAAAGAAGGAAAGTGGAACAAAAACCATCATTGTGTGACCACCTACCCCACATAAATGCTGAAGACGAATGTGTACATAAGTAAGTGTGGTGAAGAAGGCTGATGGTGCCCGGCTATCGAGACCTCTAGCGTCTGGGGACTTAAAGGCTTGAAAGTAAACAAGCGGCCAACTAGCCCAGAAGCAACAAAGCCCACATGGAAGCAGCACACCAACATGTGTGATCATGAAGGGCCAAAGGAACCAGGCTTCAAACACCAAAGGCGGGGAGAAAAATCATATCCTCGTCAATGAGGGTGGTGCGTGATGGGGACCCAATGCCCATCTCTAGACAACTGGACATACCTTGCAGAGGGGTAGTGGGGAGATGAGTCACTTAGGGTTCAGTATAACAATAATGAAACCCATAACCTTCCTCTAGTTCTTAAACGCTTCCTCCCCCCAACTACCAGAACCCCAATTCTGCCTTGCAGACCTGTCTAGACCAGATGATGCACAGTGGTACAGATGGGAATTGGAAACGCAGGGAATCTAGGACAGATGAACCACTCAGGACCAGGGGTGACAGTGGCGATACCAGGAGGGAAGGGGGGTGTAGAAAGGGGGAATTGATCACAGGGAGCTACATATAACCTCCTCTCTGGGGGATGGACAACAGAGGGGTAGGTGAAGGGAGACGCCGGGCAGTGTAATATAAGATATAATAATAATTTATAAATTATCAAGGGTGCATGGGGGAGGGGGGAGAAGAAGGGAGGGGGAGGGGGAAAAAGGAAAATGAGCTGATTTCGGGAACCCAAGAGGGAAGTGAATTTTGGGAATGATGAGGGCAAGCAATGTATAGATGTGCTTTATACAATTGATCTATGTATTGTGATGAATTTTATGAGCCCCAATAAATTGATTAAAAAAAAAAAAAAGAAGGAAAGTGAAAGGATGGGTGAGGGAGTGAGTCCCTTGAGAAAGAGACAGGAGGCTGAGAAGGGCTGGCAGGCCGGGCCCAAAGGGTGCCCATGAAAAGTCCCAAGGCTGAAGAGTGGGCCGGGCAAGTTAGGACCGTGGATGCCAAGGCAGAGAACACATGCTTCATCCTGAAGGAAATTGAGGCTCCTCGGTGGACATTTTTCTTTTGGGGGCGGGGATGGTGGTGTGCAATAGGATGGTGTGACCCTGCTGGCTGATCTGCAAATATGGACTGGATGAGGGGAAGGCTGGGGTCCAGTTTCCAGGATATAGGTGGTAACAGCTGACTAGGGCCTGATGAAGGGAGCACGGATTCCAGCGCTGTGTAGGAGACAGGGCAGGCAGTGGTGGCTCAGTGAAATCCTCACCATCCATGTGCAGCCTGGGAGACCTGGCTTGGATACCCAACTAATGTATCTCAGGTACAGACACCACTCATCTGTTTGGGAAGCTTGTTGCGATGATAATGAACACGTTTCAGTGGATCTTCCAGATGAAGGTAGACCGTACTCAACATTTGATACACATGCAGGAAATATTGAAGTTGTCAAGGATTTAATTTTACATCGGTACCCATGGAAGTAGTCAAGACATCGAGTGACATACTGCATTGGGCAAATCTGCTGCAAGTAAGAGGTTTAAAATCCTAAAAATCGATGATGCCACTTTGAAGACTAAGATCTGCCTTAGCTAAGCGATAATATTTTAATATTTTAATTAACTCACATAGATGCAAAAGCTGGACAATAAAACTATAGAACGGATGCCTTTGAAGTATGGTATTGGTGAAAAATATTGACTATTCTATGGATTCCTAAAAGAATGGACAAATGTGTCTCGGAAGAAATGCAGCCAGAATTCCTCTTAGGTGAGAGGATGGTGAGACTTAGCTTTCCATATTTCGAACATGTTAACAAGAAGGACCAGTCCCTAGAGAAGGATACCATGCATAATAAAGGACAGGGTCACCCTCAGAAGGAGAAGACCTGTGTTAGTCCGGGTAGACTAGAGAATCAAATTCATAGAGACACTCATATGTGTATAAGAAAGAGATTTATATACAAGAGGAATTGAACATTGAGAAAACATCCCAACCCAGTCCAGTCCAATGCCATAAGTCTGATATTAGCCCATATGTCCAATACCAATCTATAAAGTCCTCTTCAGACTCACGAAACACATGCAATGAAGCAAAATGCAGGATGATCACAAGCCAGTGGGTAGAAAGTCTTTGGGTCCAGTGGCATTGTAAGTATCTCAGTGCAACTCACTTCTGTGAGACAGCTAGTACACTGGCAGTCCTTCAAGTCCTGAGGGCAACCGGATAGCCCTCCATAGAGCAATTCAGGCTATCCAGCCACAGGCAGCAAACGGCAAGGCAGGTCACCAACAGCCAGATGACAGGGTCTGACAGTCCCCACCTCAAGAGATGTACATTCCAGCAGCGTGGCAAAGCAGGTCTTGAAGGAACCTCAAGTTACAGCATCACAGCCCACAGGTAGTGTAGCTTGCAAATGGAGGCACAGAGCAAGCAAGGCAGCCGCACACTGGTCCAATGATGAAAATGCAAGAGAGAGGCGAGACTTGCTGAGCCATTTATCTCTCCGCCCTTCAACTAATCTCACGTGTTCATTGGCCACGTTGTACAACAAACCTACCTATCACAAGACCCTCCACAGCATGGATGGACTCGGGGTCAAACATAGCCTCGATCGTGAGGCACACAGGATGGGGCAGTGTTGTTCTGCTGTACACAGGGTGTCTATGGGTTGAAACGGACTTAATGGCACTTAATGAACAATGACACAAGAGCTTGGCGATCAACTTTGGAGAAACCAGCCAATGAAAACCTCCTGGACCCCAGCTGTCCGATGCCTAGGGGATCATAGCGTGACACAGGGCAGGGTAGCATTTTACTCCATTGTGCATGGGGTCACTCTGACTTGTGGGCTGCCTCGATGGCAGCCAACAGCAACAGCAGGACTTGCTGACTGCTTGGACATGGGGGAGAAGGAAGGAGTTAGTGAGGATGCCCTGGTCTGGTTCGGGTGTGTGTGGGGGAAATTGAGGGGCATCGGACTTTTGGGGAGTGGGAATTTCATGTTGAGTGTGGAACAAGTCGGCGTTGATGCCCAAGGATAGCTAGATTCAAAGGAGAGAACTCCAGCCTGCAGACATGGTTTGGGAATGAGCAGCAATGTGGACTTAGGATTGGGTGACTCACCAGGGAAAGTAGCAGAATGAGAGAAAGCCCTGAGGACTGAATAGGAAACGCTGACATTGAAGGGGCTGTCAGCAGCGGGGAAGGGGCACGGGAGGTTGGGAAGAACCAGCCAGAGTGCAGGGGAGTCCGGTTCTGCTCCATAGCCCGCCTCTTCTCCTTGGCAGCTGCCGCCACTTTCTCTGTCCTTGGAACTCCCAGGACCTGACTGTGAAGGACACACCAGCTTCCCAGCCGACTGGCCCTGTTGCTCCCCAAGACGAGGAAGGGCACGTCCCCTGTCCTGGTGTGGAGGCCACAGATGGGCGCTCACCCAAACCACAAGCATGCCGGGCAGCAAAGGGAGTTGAGAACAAAGGCTGCCTGAATTCAAATCCCAGCTCTGCCACTTTAGAGCTTTGTGACCTTGGGCAACTGATTTACCCCTTCAGTGCCTTAACACCTGGTTGGTAAAATGGGGTAGTAGCTGGTTTTGCACATGACTTGGACTTGAATGAGAATCTCTGATCTAATAGACCGTAATAAGAACTGGAACCTTGGTGGCCTAGTGGGTTACACAGTAGGCTACTACCTGCAAGGTCAGCAGTTTGAAATTGCTCCGGTAAAGATTTACAGCCTTGGACACTCACAGGGGGCAGTTCTGCTCTGTCCTATAGGGTCACTCTGAGTTAGATGGGAGTGAGTTTTGAGTGAATAACAAGAACATTTTACAGATGGAGAAGTTGAGGCTCACGTAAGTGCCGTTTTTGGGGCTTGCTCCGGCACTGGCCTCGAAGTAATGGCCAGGCAGACGCAGAGAGGGAAGCTCTTGATGGTTGGACTTGCTCCCTCCCGGCCTCCACTCCCACCCTGCCAGTGAGTTGGGATAGATACATTTCTGGGTGTAGGCGCTTGGGTGTAGGACAGCGGGCTGCGAGGGAAGAGCTTCACAGACCCAGGGGAAGGGTCACAAAGCAGCCTCTGTGTGTCCTGGGGGCCTAGTGGTTACGCCTGGGTTGCTAACTGCAAGGTCCACAGTTCGAAACCATCCAGTTGCTCTGAGGGTGAAAGAGGAAGCTTTCTACTCCTGTAAAGAGTTACAGTCTCAGGAACTCCCACAGCCAGGGCTACGCTGGTGGTTATGAGTCGGCCGCAACTCGCTGGCAGTGAGTTTGGTTTGAGTTTGATCCTTGCACGGGAAGTTGAGTACCAGGGGCTGGTACTGTGGGAGCCTGATGTCTAGAGGGGGGTGTGATGGGCGGTGACTAAGATCCACCTGCCCTGCACTAGGTTTGTCCGTTTCTGGAATATACTCTTGCCAAGTAGCCAAGGGATATGGTTGAGTACCTAGGGGATCCACAGTTAAGCCTGAGAAGCATATGGCAAGCCTGCCTCCCTCCACAACTGAAGTATAACCCTACAGCAGCCTCAGGTCCAGAGGACTCCATTTGCTCTCATCCACCCCTCTCGTCTTCGCCTGATGTCAATTTAGAGGTCAGAGTCTATTATGTCAGATTCTCTCTTGCCAGTATCCTCAACGCCTGCCGCGTTGTTCCACTGCTGTGGCACCCTCCTGGTGATGCACCTCCTTCAGCCAGCACGCTGGCTTCTTGGTGCTGCGAGAAGAACTGGACCTGCCCCAGGGCATGCCTGATTCCTAGGCTCACGGTGGTTCTCAAAAGTTTTAGCAAACTGGCTGGGGGTGGGGTGGTGGTGGGGAGTGTTCAGATCCTTCTCCCATTCTCCTAGCAGCCCTTTAAAGCCACCTCTACCTTTCAGAAGGAGCCCTGCTAGCATAGTGGGTTATCCACTGGGTTGCTTACCACAACGCCAGCAGTTCAAACCCACTAGCCACTCCTTGGAGAAAAATGATGCTTTCTGCCCCCACAAAGATTTATAGTTCTCAGCTCCCCCTTGTCTCATTTGGTGGATGTGAGTTGAAATCAGCTCTATGATAGACAACTTTCAGGGAGATCGCCTTCAAGCCGTTAACCTACAAGAATATAGTAAGCAACCATGCACTTGCAAGGAGCACCTTAAAATTGGCATTACGGGGGAGGGGGGGGGCTTGATTGTGGGAATGAATCTTAATTATGAGAATGTGACTGGGACGCATCTCTAAATCACAAGTGTGAAGGCCTCCCTCCACCCAGAACCCTGGCCTGCCAGGCCTACTAAATCTGAGAATAAAGAACTGTCTGCATGCACTCTCTTCCCGGTTCTCCATTTCCTACAGTGTGAGAGCAGGGACTCTCTCGGCCACTTCTCCTTCCTTCTTGCTGGGGCTTCACTGGGATGCTGCCTGCCTCAAGGGGTGGCCCCAGGTGAACCACCTGACCCTCGTTGCTGCCAGCACCCTGCATTTCCCCACGGACCTTGGACCCAGGCAACTCTGAACCCACCAGCCTGTGAGCTTCCTCCTTCCCTGTTCACCTTTCGGCATCACCGGCATGTGGGCTACGTAAGTCTGAAGAGGGATTTATGAGCTAGCATTGGACTTAAGCATTTGAGTTGGACGAGGCTGGGCTGTCTTCATGATATAGGATATTACTTCTTGATACAAAGCTCTTTCGTAAACACAGGTGGGTGTGGCTGGGTTTGTTTCTCTAGCCAGCCTGGCCCAACACGGTGAGCTTCTCCTTGCTCCTTGCACACACACCAATCCAACACCTCCATCAGGGAATCCAAGACAGCACCGACTATGCATCAGACCCATCATGGGGTCTCGGGGTACATTGATGAGTAAGGCCCAGACCCTGTCAGGGATATTTATCACCTGGTTCAGTAGATGGGCACATGGAAGGGATACCACGCTAGTTTATGGGTGGAAGGCTCCCCAGCAAACTAGACTTCGAAGGTCACGAAAACAATCCAATGTAAAGGCTGGGAGAGGCAAGAGGACATGAGAAGTTCAGGGTGCCTGGCTCAGGGTATCTGTAGGGAGAAAGACCAACTCGTGTCTTGACTATACCCTGTAGGAAGTGAGAAACCACAAAAGGATCTTCAGGTAGACTTGCCTTTTAGAAGACTTGCTGGTGGAAGTGTGTGTCTGTTGGGGAAGAGGGAGGCATGGGCAGGGCCTAGATTTCAGAGAGAAAAGTAAGGAGGCTGTTTGACAACCTAGTTAGACACAGGGAACCCTGTCTAGGGAGTGGGCATCAAGGGATGGATTTCCTGAGGGAAATGAGCAGGAGTTGGTCGTTCAATTATTGGATACACGGTGAGGAGATAAAGCGGTGCAGACTGGATGTGAGGTTGTTGGTCTGGGTGCTTGGGTGAGTGTCTGTACTTCCAGAAAAAGAGCTATTTTAAGAGAGGGGAGGGGTTAAAGTTTGAATGTGCGGCGTATAAATGCCTATGGAACTCCCAGGAGAAATGCTTGATTGTATTTGATTTGATTTGGATGTTCTCACACAGGCCCTATGCTCTTCTGTCTGTCTGCTCCAGGGACCTTTAAGGCACATTAAGCCCTTTGTTTGCAATGCCTGTGCACCATCCATCACCTCAGGCATCTTCTTCAGGAGACTCCCTTGATCTTGTTAGCCGAAAGCAATTTTCTCTCATCAGAGCCTCGGCTTTATGTTGAATAGCTCCTGGGAGCTCTCGCATTTCCTGCCTCTCCTGGTGTCTTCCCTGAGTTTTAGGTCACCTGGACCTTGTGAGGCAGGAAATGATCAAACAGTAGTCAACATGGGAGTGCTGCTTCCAGTGGGATGGTCCCTCAGCCACCCAGGAAGTGCCCCTGCCCTTCCAGTCCAAGCAGGAAGTGACTCTTACAGCCCCAGGGAATTTCAAACACCCCTCCCATGCCCATGGTACCAGAACTGGGCCAGCTGGTACAACCACCACACAGATCCAGGTTGGTTTGGTTTCAAAAGGGGGTGGGGGGTAGGAAGCTGCAGTCTCCCAGCCTCCCTCAGGCGAATCAGCCCAAAGGACCCAGCCGAAGGGAGACGGTCTTCAGAGAAGCCAGCTGGCGAGTAGATGCAACGGACTCAGTCCCCTACCCAGAATGCTCTTCCCCTCTGGCCCTGACACCCACTTCCTGCCTCCTGGATTGCCCACAGGTGGGCATCCCTCACCCCATCTTCCCTGCAGCTCCTTATTGCCTATGAAAAAAACCCCACAGAATGGCCGGAGGACACCTTTAAGATACTTTTTATGAGCCTAAGTCAGGAGAAGAGTTAACTGAGAGGGGTGGTAATGGCAGTGGCGCTCACACCGACAGCCCCCATTTTTTATTGCACATCTGTTTTCACTGACGATCTCATCCCACGTTCACTACGGATCCCAAGACCAAAGCGCAGAGCATAAGGCATGTGCCCAATGCCCTCTAGCTGGTCAGTGGCCTAGGGACGGTCATTTTCCAGAGCTACCTTCCTCAGTAAAGGGCTGCATCTCTGCGGGGACAGCAGTCTCTGTGGACGTGGGCGAGAACAGGCAGGCTTCAACATAAGCACCAAGGGTGCTCATGGCTCCCAGACTTTCTCTGTCTAGAGCCCTGGCTCAGACAGGGAGGCAGACCCTTCGCCACCCAATAGACACAGGAGCCCAGCTCCAAGGAGACACACACTCACTTCTCCTGGTGTGGCTGTGTGGAGGCACATTTTCTTTAATCACACGCACACGGCCACAGGCCTGACGCCGATACCTTCACATAGGCTCATTGTCTCCCTCCCTCCCCCCGCTCTCATTCACTCCTCTCCCAACTCTCCAAGGACCCTCGGGTGAGGCCCTTGGGAAGGACGGCTCTGGCTTGACTTGATCAGATGAGGCTGGCGATGCTAGACGTAGTCTCGAGACGCCGGCCAGCGGACAGTCGTCCTGAGATGCTGAAGATGCTGCCGCTGCTCTCTCCATGGCCACTCTGGGTGGAAGGGGCTGCCGCTCGGATGGGAGGGCAGTGTCCACTCAGGCCCACCTGGTACAGCAGCAAGCCCAGCAGGAGGAGCGAGCCCGAGGCAGCCAGTGCCACGCCCACGGACAGCATGGTGGCCAGGGGTTGGGTGGGGGTAGGGGCGGCGGCCAGGCCGGCCAGTGTCAGTCCAGTGACCAGCAACACCAGGCCGCTGAGGAGCACCACCAGGGCGTCGGCACCGCCGCCGCTGCGCAGCAGGGCCACGTGGTGGGGCTGGCGCACACAGTTCATGTCCTGCACGGCCGAGCTCATCAGCTGCTTCACCAGCACCAGCAGGGCCAGCAGGCAGAGCACCGTGCCCGAGGCGAGCCGCCACTCGCCCGAGCGGCTGCTGGTCGAGGAGAACAGCGCCACGCCGCCGGCGCCGCAGCCTGCCACAAGGACCACGGCCACGGCGAAGCACAGTGCTGAGCGCCGCGGCTGCTGGGACCACCAGAGCTCCACCTGCTCCGCCAGGACGTCCGAGGGTAGCCCCCGGCCCACTGGGGCTGAAGCCCCTCTTTCAGGCATGGCTGGGGCTGGCAGGGACCAGGGCAGAGGGGCAGCGGCAGAGGCTAGAGGTTGGGGCGCACAGTCTGGTGGCTAGAAGTCCCAAGTACTGCTTCTTTCGCCGTCCAAGCTGTGGTCACCATGACCTGCAGGAGGGAGCCCAGGTGCTGTCACTCAAACCCGCCTGTCCCTCAGGTTCCCTCCTGGGACCCTTGGGAAACCTCCCCCCCCATGCCTCTAATGATCCTCCCTGGGTAAGCTCTCCCTCCAGTACTGTCTCCCCAATGACCCCCTTGCCCCAGAACACACCCTATTCTCCCCACACCCAGGGAAGACCCTCCACCTGCCACCCCCAGCCCCAGACCTCTCTAGCTCTGGCTTCCTCCGATGCCTGTTCCATCCCGACTGGCCCAGGGAGCCGGTGTCACGGTGGACAGTGGACAACGCGATGATGGGAGGAACAGCGAGAGATAAAGCCTCATTCAGGATCAGACTCACATGGCCTCCGCTGTCACCGCTGGCCCTGGGGGCGGGGTGAGGAGGGGGGGGAAAGATGTGGGAGGGACATGAGTTGCTGCTTTAACTCTTCCGGAGCCAGCAGCCTGATGTTGGAGTCTTCCCTCTTGGGGCTGGCCCTCTCCTTCTTCTCTGCAGCTCAGGATCTGACCCCTGGCTCCTGGCCTCCCCTAACATGCCATCCCACGCTCCCAAGCACAACCACCGCTAGAGGAGCCGACAGGTCTCCAGTCACCTGGCTCGCTCTCTCCTGAGCTTCAGACCCATACGGGCGGTGCCCACCCTGATGTGCCTCGGGCATCTCTGAAGCAACGAGTGTCAACCCCCAGCCTCCATCTGCTGCAGACTTGCCCCTCTTCCAACATGCCTCACCCCACACTGGCCTCACCGCCCTCTTAGTCACTCCAGCTGGGGGCAGACACAACCCCTGTCCACCTGGAATATTCCTCCTTTCCTTCCCTGCCTCCTCCCAGCCTCCCTCCATTTCCTCACCCGCCCTCCTGTCCCCCCCCCCACTCTTCCTCACCCTTATGCCACCCCGCCCCACCATTTCCCAAAGGGCAAAGGAGGCTCTAGATTTGACCCATCGCTCCAGGCGGAACTTGGGTGCGGGACGTAGCAAGGTTACTCATTAACAGGACGTCTGGGGACCGTGAGTACTCACTCCAGCCGAGCAGAGCAGCAGGGCCCTGCCCTCAGTGAGCCCCCCGAGGCAGGCAGAAGCTGTAGGTCCCCCCTGGAGTTGGAGCTGGGATGTGGTGTGGGAGCCCAGAGGAGGGGCTCAGGGGAGGGTCAAGGAAGCTGGGTTGGTTTTACCTCTGGAGTCTGTCTCCTTATCTGGGAAAAAAACAAAAAAAACGAGGACAATTGCATTTGTCTTGAGGGGTGGGGCTGGGTCAGTTGCCGTTTTCCTTTCAGAATTCCCCAAGGGGCCTGGAGCCGGCGGCTAGACCTATCTCTACACATGCTAACCGGAAGCAACAATAACAAACCATGGGGTCCCTCCCTCCAGTTCAGGCTAGTCCTGCGTTAGAAGTAGGACCAGACAATAGCTCTGGCCGAATACAGGTTCCACCCCAGATGAAACAGCCGACCTCCATGGCCAAGCTGCCCCCGGGGGATGTGGGGAGGGGCTCCCAGGCAGTCCCAGCATGCCCCGGGCTGGAGCGCT